CTGGGGACTTCTTTGCTCTGTTCCCCTTGCTGTTGTGTTGCACGCCCTTAAGAGTTTTGCCTTGGTGTGGTGATCAGGTGCAGTTCCCACACTGTGTCTCCAGTGTTGTCCCCTGTAGGGCTATGGGTCAGTGAGGGATGTCGTGTCTCATTGTGGGGCTGGCCATATGGTCTTCTCTGTGGATTGGCTGCTCTGAGACCCCAACGGTTTCTTAATACTACCCTGTTTCTCTGAAAATAAGACAGTGTCTTATATTAATTTTTGCTCCCAAAGACGTGCTAGGTCTTATTTTCAGGGGATGTCTTATTTTTCCATAAAGAAGAATATGGTACACATTTATTGTTTTATTAAAAGAGACCTTGTACTTCCTGTGTGCTCTGGCTGCGCTATGGCCAACAGTGAGCTGTGCGGTGGTGCCCGCCGCAATAGTCCAGAGTCCAGAGTTACGGTAGCTTCGGGGGGGCCTTATTTTCCGGAGGACACCTTATATTCCAGCGAGAGGCAAAACTGTAAGTAGGTCTTATTTTCGGGGGATGTCTTACTTTCGGGGAAGCAGGGTATGTGAGTGAAAAGAGCTACAAAAAGGTTGAGGATAAATTACTCTAGAGGAAGTGCTGTTTCTCAGTGAATGCTTATTTCTGTGGTACTCCGACCCTCCTCTATGAAGTTCTGGTCTGGATGTAGGGACTCTTGTGAGTGATACTGGGAATAATAAGTAACCTTATGGGGTGTTCCTGCCAGCAACCTAGTATGGTGTTTATCAACGAGAGCAGTAATTGTGAGCTTTTAACTCGAGGACACGTGTGCACACATTTCTGTTTTATATCATTTGAATCAGGGTCCAGTTGGTAAGGATTGAGGGAAGGATAAAAGTATCCGGAAGGTATACTCAAGGGAGTTAAAAGAAACATAATAGTAGCAACCTTTCACGTTCATGATTCCAATAGGTGGCCATACTTATATATTGCTTTTGAAATTTTAGCATTTATTGACATTATTTTGGGACCCTGACTATATTCAGATTTATATTTGCATACATTTAGGACTTAGATTTTTTTAGTCTTTTAAGGTAGTTTTTTCTTTCTTTCTTTTAATTATCTTGAAAGTTTATTGGAAATCAAGTCATATTAACCTCATTTGCATAATAGAGATGATTTGTTCCCCCCCAAATGAGATTACAACCAGAGGCAACTGATGCTATCAAGTCCATTCCAATTATTAGTGACCCAACAGGGTCGGGTCAGGGTAGCACTGGGACAGGGTAGAATTGCCCTCATCAGTTTCCAAGGCTGTAACTCTACTGGAGCAGAAAGCCTCATCTTGCTTTCACCAATTGTTAGGTGGTCTCGAGCTACATAATCTTGCCGTTAGCAGCCCAATGCACAACCCTCTGTGCATCCAGGGCTCCTGTCAACCACAAGCATAGAGGTTCGGATTTACAACACATTTTGTGGGGTCATTATTAAATTTAAAGCATTCTGTCCTTTTTCCTTCTCCCCCAAATCCATCTGGAGTCCAAAATCTCATCATCCGTATCATCCAAGTCAAATATGAGTGAGGCAAAGTACAATGGTGGGATAGACACAAGGTAGGCATTTCCATTACAAAGGGAAAGATGGGTTAACACATAACAAGAAGTTTAACATTCAATCTAAATGTAGCGGGAAAATACCCTTTATTCTCTGGGTATTGACCCCTACTCTCCAACTCTTAATTCTGCATTAGCCCTGGGCTTCAGCTCAACCACCCAAGCCCTCTGGGTTGGGAACTCTGTTCTTGGTGCTTAGGCAGCCCCATTCTTGTACTCCCTTGGAGTGGAGAACCCACCCTTTGGTCCTCTCAGGCCCTGCTCTGCTCTTTAGGCATGGCAGCCCTACCCCCTCAGCCCCTAAAATGAGTTTTGGTTGAATATTGGCAAAGTCATCCTGTCAAGAGTGGCACTGGTGAGAAAAAGGCCAGGAAAGTTGTTTAGGAACGTTTTCCATCCCGACAATGCACTTGCTCTTTTTTGACCCTACTGCCCGATCTTACTCCTCATATTTCTTTTTGTTCCTCAAACTCAAAGAACACTTAAAAGGAACACGAGTCTCCTGAGCATGTGAAATGGGGGTTCTAACATGGCAAGTCGAGCACAGAAATTTTCAGGGAAAGGTTAAAGAGATGGAAACACTGCCTTCTGAAGTATGTGGACCTGTATGGATGATTTCTATTCAATAGTTTAAGCTACTTTTCAGGACGCACGCACGCACGCACGCACACCACCCCCTCCCCCCCTCCCCTCCGTCCCAGCCCACTCCCCTTCACCCAGTCAACATTTATGTACCCTCTCGCCTGTTGCTTCACCTTCCTGCTTGTAGCAGTGTTTCTGACCACCTCATATTGTGCATTTAAGAAATGGTTTTCAAAGTTGTCCATCATTATTCTTGAGTTTCTCGTAAAAGACCTTGTCTTACCGAAGCCTTTGACTGGTGGTTATGAAATGCCATAGTTCATGCTTTCCACCAGAGGGAGCATTGCCTGTGATTCTAGACCTGTGTTTCTAACACTCCTGGGTAAACACGACTTTCCCTACCTGTTTTCAAGATAGGAGTTATTGTTTAGGTCATTACTCTGCAAAGTATACACTAATGTGTCTGCAGTTGGCATGGACTTCTTTGGCTGAGTTGTTTTTACATCGTTACAAATTGTTTTAATATACTTTCTTTTAAAATGATGTACCTCCCTTCCCCTCCTCCCCCTTCCCATCTACCCTCTGGTAATCGTTAATCTTTTGTCTTGATGGGTTTTACATAGCCTAGAGCTTTCATATAAGTGGGACCACACAGTATTTGGCCTTTTGCGTCTGGCTTATTTCACTTAGCATAATGTTTTCAAGCTTCATCCATTTGGTGGCTTGTTTTAAAACGTCACTTCTTTCTAAACTGAATTATTATTCCACTGTATGCACGTAACACATTTTGTATATTTATTCATCTGCTGGTCGCTGCTTTGCTTTTCATCTTGTGACTGCTGTAAATACTGCTGCACTGAGCGCTGGTGTGTAAGCGTCTGAGCCCCTGCTTTTAGTTCACGTGGGTATATATCAGGAATGGAGCTGCTGCACCCTTAGCTAGCACGACAGTTAACCCCTTGAGGAACCACTACACTCTCTTCTCCCACAAGGTGGACCGTTTGACATCCGCCAGCGGTGCCTAAGAGGTCCGGTTTCCCACCCTGGCAACAGCACTTATTTTCTGTTGTGCAGATCCTAACCATCCTGGTAGGGGCAGACTGATAGTTTCTTGTGCCGTTTGATTTACATTGCCCTAGTGAACAATTCTTTCTGTGCTTATTGGTTTATTTGTATCTTTTCTTGGCCTGTTTTCAAAGTGAGTGGTTAGTTTTTAGTGGTTTAGTGGTTAGTGGTTAGTGGTTAGCTGAATTTTTTAGGCATCTTATCTGGTACAATGAGATTTTATAATGTTTCCCCCAGTCTGTGCATAGTCTTTTCATTTTCTTGATACTGCCACTTAATACCCAAACATTTTTTATTTTGATGGAGTCCAGTTTATCGTTGTCCTCTTGCTGCCTGGGCTTTTATCTGAGAATCCACAGCTGGAAAGAATTAGCTGACGTTTATCCAGATAATTATTTTTGATCCTTTCTTGGTTCTATGTGGTTAACACAGACTGAGGAAAAGGAAAAATGACTTTCTTTTTTGTAACTTCATAGCTTCTCATCGTTTTTAATTTTCATCGTGACCCTGATAAAATCACAGATTAAGGATCAAACTTGATGATGACTAAAGGTTCTTTATGTCTGAACCGTAACTTGCTTATTTGTCTTTTCTCACTTCGTGTTCTTAATACAAATGTTTCTATTTTTGTTATTTTACCTAGCCATTATTTTGAATTTTTTCAAAATTTATTAGATGATAATCAAGCTAGTTGCTTTTTAAACTGCTTGCAAAAATTGCACCTTTTTTCATTTTTTGTTAGTACTAGCCTTCAAAAAAAGTGTTTAACATAATACAGCATGTCACCTCTAAAACATACTTTTCTAAAATGTAAGTTTTTTAAAGTGACCTCAGACGTTGAGGGGAAGGATCGACTTAAGAATCGGTGAAGAGCAGTAAAGAAGAAAGTGGTAAAGTGGAATGTGAGACAGAAACTGAAAATTGTGTCGTGAATATTTTTGATTTTGATTTTCTACCTAACAAACAAAAACATGCCTTCCAGCTTTAGGCTGCTCCCCAAGCAAGAATTATTATTGGTGATGTGAAGCCAATGGATTCATTATAAATTGAAGCTAATTTTTATAATTAATAATGTACAGAATATATCACAGATGCTAAATATTGTTGGTGTTTTAACATTAGTTCTGCTTGTTTTCAGAATGGAAAACCTATGTTAAAAAGGAAAATGATGATATTAAAACGTGTCTTCTTTTTTTGTGTTCAGGTGCAGTTTTCTTGGTTATTTTTTGCAGGCGCTGTCCCCGTATTTTTTTCATTTTTTATTGTAACTCTACTGTGTCATTATAATAATTGGGATCCAGTGATGGTGGGAATAAGAAGATTTTTTGCATTTATATGCAGAAAACATCGACTTCAGAGGTAGACTGACTTCCTCTCTAGATCATTAAAAAAATAAGGTTGCCTTCTTCCATGGAGAATTTTGTGAAAGATTATTGAAAGGTTTATGTTTTACTTATGGACTATGCCAGGAAAAAAATTCTCAGACCCTGTGTGTTTCTTCCTAATGAATTTTGAAAATTGATTCTCCAGGCAAAATCTAAGTGCTTAATTATTAATTTGTTATAATGGATTTAAATGTAGACCATTTTTGCCTTCGAATATAGTTTTTAATAAAATATGATAATGCTGTGTGAAATTTTCTTCCTATAAGTGCTTTTTAGGAGAGAGAACTGTTACACTTTAGTCTGAAAAGAAACCAAGACAAGTTAGTGGGAGGTTTTGCCCAATTCTTCACACTGACTAACTCCTGTTCTGACACCACTAGCTGCAGCCAGCAAAATAGACCGTCTGTAAGGATCTGTTTCTGCTCTAAAGATCTTTTTCCTTTCTTCCCTGAAGAGCTCCAGAAGACAACGAACAATGTGAGAGTCTCATTCCGCTGCACAAGGCTTCCCAGGAGGATGGAGCTAGCTAGCCGTGGTCCTTAGCCCAGGTTCGTGTGACATAAACGCATTGCCCACTGTGCTCCCTTCCTTTAACCTTTCGAGTCGGCGTTTTCCAGTTGGTCCCGGCCAGGCCCGTCTTCAGAGCGCATGGCACTCAGGTAGACAGTCTTCACTAAGCTTAACAACATTTCAGGAGGTTCGTCTGTTTGTTTTAAAGATTGCTTCAGAGTAATTGTTTTTGTGGTTTGCCCGACCTCTGTAGCTCCAGAAAGGCTAGAGTGTATGAAACTTTTGAATTTTTTCCAGTGTGTTCCTCCTTTTGATCAGGATTCTTCTGTGGAGTCTTTGATTAAGTGTTCAGTACTGGTAGCCCAGCACCATCGGTCTTGTGGCCTCGTAAGGAAGGAGGTAGTCAGTTGCTCATGGGGACAATTAGTGACACTTTCCGTGCCCTCCTGTTCCTGACTCTCCTTCTTTCTCTGTTGCTCACGATGAACAGAGACCAACTGTTGTGCTTGACTGCCCTTCCAATCTGGGGAAATTTCATGATTATCCATTGGCTAAGTTCCTCTCTCTTCATACCTAAAGAAACAGCTATTGTTTGGATGTGGGCTTTTGGACTATTTTCTAAATTTATTTTTCTTTGTGTATTTTATATTTTATTTGCCTTATCATTGTACTTTTTAGAAGCTTTCTCCAACTCTTTGTTTATAAAAAATAAATTTTCATTTTGTAGAATTTTAGCTTTTCGATTCTTCTGTGCATATTGAGTATTGAGGAGCTCTCTAGTGGGGCAGTAGTGACACTTGTGACTGCTAACCAGAGGGTTGGCGGTTTGAACCCATCAGTCACTCACAAGAGGAGATCTTGAGATAGCTCCATGAAGATGGTTGTTGAGTACGGTTGAGTTGGTTCCAACTCAGGGACATGTACAGCAAAACGAAGCATTGCCTCATTCTGTAAGATCCTCAGTCATTACTGTTTGATCCCATTGTTATAATCACTGTCCCTCCGTCTCCTAGAGTAGCTGTCCTCAACCTGTGGGTCACAACCCCTGTGGGGGTCGAACGGCATGAGGTGATTTTAAAAACCATGGCTTGAGTCATGCACACTTTAGGGTTCAAAGTGATATCTTTGCCTTTGAACACTTTGAAAGTTCTTTTGCAGCAGATTTGCCCAGTTCAACATGCGGTTTGACTTCTTGACTTCTGGCTCCGTAGGAACAGAACAGGTTTATTCAGTCACATAGGGTCTCTGTCAACTTGCTGGAACACAACAGGGATAATCATAATATTAATAGTTTAGTTTTTCTTTTCTTAAATTTTATTGTGAATTAGGTGAAGACTAAATTTCTGTTCAATAATTCATACTTCGTACACAGTTTGCGTCTTATTGACGGCAGTCCCCAGACGCAAAGAGTGACTGAAGGCCATGGCCTGTCCAACCACTGAGTCCACTCTTTTTAACATTTCTTTTATGATTTTGAGTTTTGTTCCACATTGTCACCATACTATCCAGAAACTTCTCATGTCATTTTTCACAGAGCACTTGGTAGTGGTAGCTGGGTGCCACCTGGTGGTTCTGGTCTCAGGGTGGCGGAGGCTGATGTTCACATGGTACCTTTGCTCATTGAAGTAATTGTTTCCATGCATCTTCAGTTATCTTTACTTTTCTTTCCTCCAGTGGGGAGAGACCAATGGTTGCACCTTAGATGGCTGCTCACTGGTTTTGAAGAATCCAGGCATGCTCACCAGAGTAGTGTGGAAATCATTGTCTTGGTGGACTCTATTGTGGTCTTGGGTCACCAGGCCCTGTGACTCATTGCTGCCCCACCTCCTCTTCTGAAACCAGCCTGAACCTCTGACAGGATGTAGTGCTGCTCTCGTCCTTGGTCTTTTATGACTGACTCCTTTCCCTCAGCCTAATTTCCTCCTGGTTCATCCATGGCTTGGCGCTACTGTTTCAGAGTATCACATTGTGTGTATGTACCACAGTTGGTGTATCCATCCCGTCACTGATGAGCATGTAGGTTGCTTCCATCTTTTTGCTATTATACTAGTGCTGCAGTGACCATGGGCATATACATTTATTTCACAGCTCTTATTTCTCTATGATGTGTGCCTGGATTTCTGGATCACGCGGTATTTCTCTTTCCAACTTTTTGAAGATGCCGCAGACTGTTTTCCTCAGTGTTAGTACCATTTTATAGTCTCTGCACCCTCCCCAGCACGTTTTGTTTTCTGTTTCTTTGAACTTCGCTGTTAAGGCTGCAGTGGGATGGAATTTCATTTTGGTTTGATTTCCATCTCTTGATTGATTAATGATCCCAAGCATTGCTCCATGCTTGTTGGCCACCTAAATGTATTCTTTGTCGAAGTGTATGTTCATGCCCTCTGACCATGGTTTATTCGATTATTTATCTTTTAGTTGTTGAGGTGCTCAAGTTTTCTATACATTTCAGAGAATAATCTCTTGTCTGATATATTGTTAATTTTAACCAATCTGTGTGTGTGTGTGTATATATATATATATATACATATATAAATTAAATACTTTTATTGAGGGCTCTTACATCTCTTATCACAATCCATACATTCATCCTCTACGCCAAGCACATGTGTACATATGTTGCCGTCATCATTTTTAAAGCATTTTCTTTCTACTTGAGCCCCTGGTATTAGCTCCTCATTTCCCCCCTTCCCGCCTCCCGCCCCCTCTCCCTCATGCACCCTTGATAAGTTATAGATTATTATTTTCTTATCTTACATCATCTCTGTCACTCTTCACCCACTTTTCTATTGGTATTCCTTCAGTTCTTGGAGTCTTGTTCTTGACCAATGTGTTTAGTGCAGATTGAACCTTTCTCCTTTTTTTTTTTTAATCATTTTATTGGGAACTCGTACAACTTTTATCACAATCCATCTGTCCATCCATTGTGTCAAGCACATTGGTACATATGTTGCCATCATCATTTTCAAAAACATTTGCTTTCTAATTGAGCCTTTGGTATCAGCTCCTCGCTTTTTTCCCTTCCCTCCCCGCCACCCCCAGGAACCCTTGATAATTTATAAATTATTATTACTTTGTTATGTCTTACACTATCCGACATCTCCCTTCACCCACTTCTCCGCTGTCCCCTAGGGAGGAGGTTATATGTAGATCCGTGTAATCTGTTTCCCCTTTCTCCTCACCTTCCCTCCACCCTCCTGGTATCGCTACTCTCACCACTGGTCCTGAGGGGTTCATCTGTCCTGGATTCCCTGTGTTTCCAGTTCCTATCTGTACCAGTGTATATCTTCCGGTCCAGCCAGATTTGTAAAGTAGAATTGGGATCATGATAGTGGGGAGGAAGGAAGCATTCAAGAACTAGAGAAAAACTGTATGTTTCATCATTGCTACACTGCACCCTGACTGGCTCGTCTCCTCCCCATGACCCTTCTGCAAAGGGATGTCCAATTTCCCACAGATGGGCCCTAGATCCCCACTCCACACTCCCCCTCATTCACAATGCTATTTTTTTGGTCTTTGAAGCCTGAAACCTGATCCCTTCGACACCTTGTATTTATATTATTTTGATAAGATCTTCTGCACACGAATGTCTAATTTTCCTATTAAATCCCTTTTTTTGAGGGCTCTTACAGCTCTTATCACAATCCATACATGCATCCATTGGGTCAAGCACATTTGTACATATGTTGCCACCATCATTTTCAAAGCATTTTCTTTCTGCTTGAGCCCTTGATATCAGCTCCTCATTTTTTCTCTCCCTTCTCCATCCTCCGTCCCTCATGAACTCTGGATAAATTAAAAACTATTATTTTCATATCTTACATGGTCTGCTTTCTCCCTTCAATCCACTTTTCTGTTGTTCTTCCCTGGTGGGGGTGGGAATTATATGTCGATCATTGTGTTTGGTTCCCTCTTCCCTCCCCCCACCTTCCCCTTTCCCTCCTGGTGGCTCTATTTGTCATGAGGGGTGTATCTGTCCTGGATTCCCTGTGCTGTGGGCTCTTATCTGTAGCAGTGTGCATGCTCTGGTCTAGTCAGATTTGTAAGGTAGAATTGAGGTCATGGTAGTGGGGGAGATGAAAAATGTCTACTTTTTAGGAGGTCCCAGTCACCTAGTTTGGGGTCTGTGTTTGTGTTTTTAGTTATGCATTATGACCTTTAAGTTTGCCCATATGTTTTCATTCAAGGTTTTATAGTTAGTTGTCAATAATCTTGAGTTCATTTTTGTACATGATGTAAGATATGTCTTGTTTCATTCTTTTGCAAATAGGTACCAAGTTTTGCCAGCACCAGTGTGTTAAAGGGAACCCTTCCTTATTTACTTAATGAGTTTTGACCCTTTGTCAAAATCAATTATAAGTGGGTAGATTTACTTCTGGGTTCCTAGTGTTGTTCCGTTGGTCTCTGTGTCTTGCTAAATCAGGACTAAACTTCCCTGACTGTGCAGTAGGCTTTGAGATCAGGAAGTGTAACTTTGTTCTTCTTTAATAGTGCTTTGTTTATCCAGGGTCCCATCTCTTACCATTAAGGTTGATAATTAGTTTTTCCATTTCTTTAAAGAACGGTGTTGGGTTCAGGATCGAGAATGCATTTTATCTGTAGATCGTTTGCGGTGGTATCAACATTTTCACAATGTGAAGTCTCCCTATCCATAAGCATGATATTTTCTCCCTTTTATATATGAACAACAACAGCAAAAGAAAAAAAACGGGGGGAAAAACCACTGGGTGGAGCTTTTATATTACACATTTTTCCTGCTAGGTGAGCATGAAGCAACTCACTCAGTTAATGCATTCAGTCAGTGCACTCAGTGGCATTGCCTGGTTCTCTTAGGTCACAGTGAATTTTTTCGTAAAAGTAATTTCGCTCGAACGTTATTTTTTCACGATGGTTGATTTAAGAGAACAGCATGTGGCTGTGAAATTTTGTTTCCTGCTTGGGAAAAATGCCACAGAAACTCTTGTGATGTTGAACACAGCTTACAAGGTCAGTACTATGTGAAAAACTCAAGTGTACAAGTGGTTTTCTCGTTTCATAAAAGGTAAAATGTCCATTGATGACACACCTTGTTCTGGACATCCATCACCTTCCTGAGTGAATGGAAATGTCCACTCATAGTGTTTTGGAGTTCCTTCCACCAGGTCAGACTGTTAATCAAGCTTTCTATTTAGAGGTTCTGAAAAGTTTGTGTAGTAGTATGTGACAAAGAAGGCCGTATTTGTGGCAGATGGGGGGCTGTTTTTGACACAACAATGCACCTGCTCATGCAACCATCTCACTGAGCCAGTGTTTGGCACAGAGCAGCATGCCTCTCTTGCCCCATGCACCTGACTCACCTGCCCTTGCTCCACACGACTTCTTTTTGTTTCTGCGAATGAAAAGGAAAGGACAGAGATTTGACAACACAGAAGAGGTGAAGGAGAAAAATGAGGGAAGTGCAGTCAGCCATCCAAACAGATGAGTTTGAAAAATGTCTCCAAGAATGGAATCCCAGATTTGACAAATGTATTAAGTGTAATGAAGGTAATAAGGTGGTTTTGTAAAAAAAAAAAAAATTGAAATGCATAGCTTTTGGGGGGTGGGCAGATTCCAGGTTTTTTAGTGGGGGGGTACCCCCTCACAGGTCACTTTGGGTTTCTTATTCTGTAGTTTGATATATGTTTAGAAACTTTAACTAAGATAGAATATTTTATAGACCCACAACAAAAGAAGAGGTTGTATCAGGTCATTTAAAAACTCCCAACAGAGAAGTTTCTGATTCAGACAGCTTCGCTGGTTAATTCTACCAAATATTCAGCAAACAGCTGACCCCAATTCTCTTCCAACTATTTCAGAGTATTGAAATGGATGGAATACTTCTGAGTTCATTTTCTAAAGTGAGCGTGACCCTGATACCAAAGCCCGGCAAATATCACTAAAGAAGAAAGTTATAGAATTATAAACAGACATAAAAATTTTTAACAAAATCAGGCAATAGAATCTAACAACATATATACATATAAAGAGTACATTGTGGTGAAGTGGGATTCATACCAAATATGCAAGGGTTTTTAACATTAAGGAGAAACAAAATCAGTATAATCTACCACATATATAAAATGAAGGAACGAACTTATCAATTGGTGCATTCCACAAAATTCAGCTCCCTCTTCTGATAAAAACACTCACATCAAATTAGGAAAAGAAAGGAAATTCTTCAACAAAATTAAGGGCACTATACGGAACCAATAGCCAACACTAGTCTCAATGGAGAGAGACAGAAAGCAAAAAGGAGCCCGGGCAGAAATGCCCTTTATCACCACTGCAGTTCAGTATTGTCATGGACATCTGCGCCAAAGCTATAGGACAAGAAAGAGAAATTAATGACATTCAAACTGCTGAAGAAGTAGAACTCCATTGCTGATGACCCAAACAAGGAGCCCTTGTAGCATAGTGGTTATGTGTTGGGCTGCAATCTGCAGGTCAACAGTTGAAAACCACCAGCAGCTCCATGGGAGAAAGACAGGGCTTTCTACTCCCATAAACAGCTAAAGTCTCGGAAACACACAAGAGCACTTCTACCCTGTCCTATAGGGTCCCTGTGAGTTGACATCAACTCACTGGCAGTGAGATTTAGTCTATGATCCTTTACATAGAAAACAAATGGAACTATTTGGAAGATTCACAGAGTGGCAGGGTACAAAATAAGCATACAGATCAAACTGTGGGGTGTAAAATCAGGCAAAAAAAATCAGTTGCAAATCTTTACACCAACAGATAAGATTATGAAATGGAAATCAAAAAAACATTTATAATAGCCACCCAAATGATGGAATACTTAGGAATAAATAAAACCAGAGAAAAACTGTTAAATTTTTAAGAGTCCATCTTTAATATCTTGATATTTCATTTTTATGTATTATGTTCTCAGGTATAACATTTTCTTGTATATCCCCTGACACAGTTTTATTATTCTAGTTATTTCAGTTTTTGCCTTGCACGCTTTTTCTCAACTCTGAGAATCTGGTGATCTTGGTTCTTGCTTGTGTTTGAGTGAGTGGCACTCTAACAAGCTGATGAGAAGCTCTTCTGAACTTCATTGAAGATGATCTCCCTTGCCTCTTGTCACACACACACACACACACACACACACACACACACACACACTATTAGCATCGCTAAATCTTTTTCTTCCTAACAGATATGTCCTAGGGTAAAGTCCTAGAGCAATTTGCCTTGCTAGCAACTGAGAAAAGGAGGAGAGCAGCTGGCTATCTCAACCTGGCTTTGTGTACTTTGGCCTCATCTTCCTTTTCAGTAGGAAGCCACCTTGCAGAAAATAGACTTTAAGTCTTCTAGTTGGAAAGGAGAAGTGGTACTTACTTGACCAGCTGTGAAAAGTAAAGAGGATCTCTGAGTTTTAACTGCTTTTTCTGTAGACTGTAACCTTTCTCTACTAAAAAGTGTGTCTGGCTTCCTCTACTCCTAGCTAAGAGTCAACTGCTGTGCCTATGTCTCTCTGATCTTCTTGTGTCTAAGTGGCTTATTCCTTAAAAAAGAAAAAAAATATATATATATATAGTCTTTCTAGTGAGGTTTTGGAGCACAATTGGTGCTGTGTGTTTCTTTTTCACCTTTAAATTGAACACACAGTTAGTGATTGAATTGTCTCCCATACCACGCCCCTAACTCTCCAACGTATGCTATAAATCCTAACCTCTGGTGCCCGGGGTTCATACTCGTTATGTAAATGAGAGGGGGCAGTGTAGTGTGGACCTTGAGCCAATCTCTTTTGAAATATGAAAGAGATTAAATGCACACAGACATGGGGCGGGGAGAGAGCCCACTCAAGAGCAGAGCAAAACTCAAAATATGAAATATAGAAAGTTAAAATTTTTCAAATTGTGATCTAATTATTTTGTGTATGTGTGTATGTTGTTTTTGTTTTTTTAGCATATCTGATCATGGAACTTGTCGCGGCGAAGAGACAATCTGTAGCAAGTTTTTGTAGAAAAGAGTGTTTCAGTGCCTAGTCTGAAAAATCATGGTTTCAGTTCTTTGAAACTCTAAAATATGCTTTCCTCATGTGTTTTCTTCATTTTCGTACTGAAGTACTTTGCAGTGTACCTGTCTGCATATCACTACAATTAATGAAGTTCCAGTCCACAGTCCATCTTCAGGACCAACCTGCCTTATCCATCTCCAGGAATCCAGCTGATGGCATGGTTTGAACTAATCACGGAATGAAATCCTAATGTTCTAGAGATTTTAATGTGTTAGTGTTAAATGGTGGACTCTGTATTATTAAAATGTAAGGCAATCGTTTATATAGAGAGATCAGTGTTTCTTACAGGCAAAGTGCTAAACTAAGCTGCCTGTAATAGGTACGGCTTCCATTTCTGAGTTTTACAGAATATTGCAAATTAACACACAAAAATGTTTAATGTATATAATAAGTATGTTCGTGCAAATTGGTGGGGCTTTAAAATGAATAAATATTGGGACAAGATCCTGGTTCACTTACATTATATATACTGTACTACTTTCATTGCATTAGGTGCCTTGTATTTTGAATCTGTGACAATGACAATTTTTATATGGGAAATATTATTGTAAAATGATTGTGTATTTCTACAGGCTATGTTGCTGTAAATTTAATTGATAAAACTTTTTGCTTAACTTAGAGTTGAGGAAATAATCACTCTACAATTAAGAAATTTTCCTAATAGAATGGTTTAAACTGAAGTGATAAAGAGTTTTATTAAAATAAATGCTCCAAAATGTTTACATATATGTATTTGTGTATCGGAACTGTATCAAGTAGTTTCTCGTCCCTCCCCCCCATGTTAATGTGCCAAAGTACTCTATAACTGGAGTCTTCGTTAAATAATTTTCCTAAATAAAATTTTAATGGTTAAATTACCAAAGAATTCAGGCAAGAAAGAATTTTACTTTAAAAATCATATTTGAAAGTTTTCTTCTGCCACGGTTAAATGGAATATGACTCTTGATTGTAGCTCTTAAACTCCAGTCATGTTTGTGCTCCTGTGCCATTGGTCCCCAGCCCTCTCTACTGTAGACCTCAGTGGATGAACATATGTCTCAGGATTCATCTAACCTTTTGATTCTTTTCAAAATGCTTAATGAATCTGGTTCTTTAAAAATCCCCTTTGTGGTATTTTCCTTCAGTTTGTCCTGTTTACGTTTTAGGAGATGCTTTGGTGCTATTCTGCGTCTAAAATTAAGGTTAGCCATCTTCTTGCTTAGGTCTGACAATTCTCATATTAGGTGTATTTGTCTGGGTAGACTAGAGAAACAAATTCATACACACTCGTGTGTAAGAAAGCTTTATAGACAAAAGCAGTTGACTATTGAGAAAACATCCCAGCCCAGTCCACATTAAGTCCATAAGTCCGATATTAGCCCATATGTCTGATACCAATCTATAAAGTCCTCTTCAGACTCACGAAACACATGCAATGATGCAGAATGCAGGAAGATCACAGGCCAGCCAGTGGGAAGTTTTATGGATCCTGTGGTGGTGTAGGCATCTCAGCACTGGCAGGGTCTCCACCTGGCTGTTCCAGCTCAGGGCACTAACGTAGTTCCATGTGTCTTGTCAGTAGAGAGTCTTCAAGGGAGTGAGCCGAGAGTGTGTGTCTCCCACCTCCAGGGAGGAAATACAGGAATTCCCTGAATCCTCAGGAGAAGGCCATGTCGACACAGAGGCCTCATTGGCTGTGATCTGATTGACAGGCTAGACTCCACCCCTTCACTCTTAATCCTCTCAAGTCCCAAATTGACACCAGAGTATGTAACATTGCGCTAGTTTAATGTGCTATTGGGTTTTAAAAGACAGTTGTAATCTCAATTGTTAATTCTTTTTGTTTTTAAAACTTTTTATTGCGATTTGAGTGAAGGGTTACCGAGCAAGTCCCATAATAGTTACAGTCTAGGAAATCCACAGGGGCAATTCTACTCTGGCTCCAGGGTTGTAATGAATTAGAACCAACTCAGTGGCAGTAAATTAGTAGTCTCCACATTTAGAGACTCCTCCTTGGTCTGAACAAGATGTAATGAAATTTCCCTTTAATCTTAGAGGAGCTCTGGTGGCCAGGTAAGTGTTAGATTGCTAACTCCAAGGTCAGTGGTTCAAATCCACAAGCCACTCCTCAGAGAAGGATTGGACTATCTACTAACACAGAGATTTACAGCCTTGGAAACCCTGCACAGGATTTCTGAATTGGAATGGACTTAATGTTAGTGGGCTATTAAGAATGTTCATTATGGAGCCTCGGTGGCACCATGGGCTAAGTGTTGGACTGTAAACTGAAAGGTCAGTGGTTTGTACCCATCCAGTGCTCCTTGGGAGAAAGATGAGGCTGTCTATTTTTATAGCAACCACTGCATGAAAGTGACTTTTTACTTTTACATATGACATTTCTTTTATTAACATTAATATAGAAGCGACCTCAAAATTCCATGTGCTAACTGCCCAGTATTTCTCCACTTGGATTAAAACTTGCATCATTTTAATTATGGCAGGTGTATTAGGCCAGATAGACTAGAGAAACAAATAAGGTGAAGTGTATATATGAAAGAGCTTTAATGCTCATGCAGAGGAAGATAACATAGCTATGTGGGACATACTAAAGATAAAACATTTGTATGCATTGAAGGACTATCAAGAGTAATGAGAGAGCCCAGAAACTGGGAAAGGATATTTAGTAATGACATATCAGACAAAGGTCTTATTTCTGAATCTACAGAACCCTGCAAGGAAAAAATGAATAGCCCACTGAGGAGGTGGCCAAAGAAAGACTCGAACAGAAGATTCACAAAAGAAGAAACCCAACTGGCCAATAAATAGAGAAAATGTTCCCGATCATTAGCCATCCAGGAATTCACATCAAAACAACCACAAAACACCACACCCACAAGGATAGCCCGATTCAAGAAAAAGCAACAAATGTTGGAAGGGGTGTGATGAAATAGGAGCTCTCATTCACTGCTGGTGGTCTTGTAGATGTGTACAGCCACATTGGAAAGTGATTTGCCAATACCTAAAACATGGAAATTAAGTTATCTTACCACCCAGCAATTCCACTCCCGGGTATATACCCAGAAGAAATAAGAAACAGGCCACAACCTGACATCTGCACTCCAATGTTCATTGCTGCAAAGTTCACAATTGCAAAGAATTGGAAACAGCCTAAATTTCCATCAATAGATGAATGAATTAAAAAACTCTGCTGTATATACACACAATGGACTACTACACATCCCTATAAAAAGTGAGGAAATAATGAGACACCTGGTCGAGTGGATGGACTTGGAGGACATTATGCTGAGCGAAGTAAGCCAAGCACAAAAGGACCAGTACAACATGAGTCCACTGAGGTCAGTTCAAACAGCAGAACAGGTGTAGGGGAAAACATATCGCACAGTTCCCGGGCTGAAGACCAGATACTCTGACAAAAGCCACACTAAACACAATGATACATCATCAAAAAAGAAAAGGGAGAGAAAACGTGTTTTTTTTTATTAATCGTTTTATTAGGGGCTCATACAAGTCTTATCACAATCATACATACATCAATTGTGTAAAGCACATTTGTACATTCATTGCCCTCATCATTCTCAAAACATTTGCTCTCCACTTAAGCCCCTGGCATCAGCTCCTCATTTTCCCCCTCCCTCCCCGCTCTCCCCTCCCTCATGAGCCCTTGATAATTTATAAATTATTATTTTGTCATATCTTGCACTGTCCAACGTCTCCCTTCTCCCACTTTTCTGTTGTCTGTCCCCCAGGGAGGAGGTCATATATAGATCCTTGTCATCGGTTCCCCCTTTCCAGCCCATCCTCCCTCTACCCTCCCAGTATCACCTCTCACACCACTGGCCCTGAAGGGATCATCCACCCTGGACTCCCTGTGGAGAAAACATTTATACAAATAGCAACTGTGCAGAAAAACATCTCTCCCCTCCTCCACCCGCCCCCACACTCCCCTGCGCACACACACCTTTACAGCCCACAAAGGGATGGGTCTGTGGTAGTTACATAATCTGTTGTCAACTTGAGACTATTAAGAGTGAAGTGTTTACCTTAGTGCCTCCAAATGAGGTCGTTGCAGCTTGACCTTATTTGGAGGCACTAAGGAGATAAACAGCTTGCTGGAGGAGGGACACATACTCCCTGGGAGCCATTCCTGTTGGCAAGCCACATGGAGTTATGCTGATGGCAGCCAGAGCCTTAGAGTTGGAGGAGCCACGTGTAGACCCATGCCAACACACAATGCTTCCACCGCCACTGGATCCACAAGACTTTCCACCCACTGGCCTGTGATCTTCATGTACTTGATGTCATTGCATGTGTTGCATGAGTCTGAAGCGGAATTTGCATACTGATAGTGAACATATGGGCTAATATTGGACTTATGGATTTGATCTCTACTGGACTGGGATGTTTTCTTAGTCATGTACCTTTCTTCCCACACGTGATTTAAATGCCATTGCATGTGTTGCATGAGTACAATTACACTTTACATAAAGCTTTTCCTATACACATATAAGTGTCTACGAATTTGTTTCTCTAATTCACCCAGACTAACACGGATGAAAAAAAAGATGACAATTGGGGAACAGGGTACTAATCCACCAAAGAGGAGGGTGTTGTTTATAGCTCCGCAGAAAAGGGAGAGTATACCACATTGTGGTGCAACAGCCTTGAGGGCAACATTCCTGCTCAGAGCAGCTTGTCCACAGAGGGCAGGGCCAGCCCCAGCTCGAGACTTGGAGTCCCCTCACTAGATGACAGCACTATAGAGGACAACACTGAAGATAAGAGTTCGGAGAGTGCAGCCGGCATGACCAGCCCACATGGGGCAAGCAAGAGGGAAGTGCAACAGACCAGCAATGGAGCACAGACACAAAGTCCCTGAGGAATCTTGGTAGCAGACATCTGGCTTGGAGGACAGCGCTTGGCAGCTCATCTGAACTGATTGGGGAATATTTGCAAGGAGCCGCACTGGAAGTTAAAGGTATAACGGGGTGGGGGGTAGGACACTAGACTACAAGAAGCCTTGACTACAAGAAGAGCAGTGAGGTCTTGTAGAAGGCGCACCCTTGGACATGAACACTGAGGCCTAAAAGCATATAGGTGTTGGGTAAGCAGGTCCTGGGAGATGGATCCCCAAAAGAAAAGGGGAATGGACCGGTGGATTTTTTTTTTTTTTAACCGATGGGTTTTATCAGGGCCTGCTCGCTATTTAACAAAGGGATACTTATCTACTTGGGTCAGGACAGATAGACATGGAACTACTTGCATGGACTTTTTTTTTCTTCCTCTTTTGGTGTCTATATAAGATAAGCAGGATTATCCATCCCAAGGAGACAGCAACTGGACCATAGGTTGAGGACCGAAGGTAGGGAGCGAGTACTAAGCAAATAATAGCCGGGACAAGAATAGCAAGGGATCTAAAATTGACGGTGCAAGGGAGTCGTATTCCTAGTCGTGTTGATCAAGTGAAATGTATCCGTGAGGAATTACCGTGAAGGAACGATGGGTACGCATGATAGTGGATCAGGAGGAAAGAATAAGAAAGTAAAAAGTATATATCTAGGTATAAATATAGATAAGTGAATATATAAAGATAGGTGTATTTGTCTCTATGTACCATATATACTTGAGTATAAGCTGAGTTTTTTGGCACATTGTTTATAGGTTTTCGTGGTGAAATTAGGTGCCTCAGCTGATATTCAGGTCGGCTTATACTCAAGTATATATGGTATGCATATATAAATACAACAAGGAAGCTTTGGGCCTCTACTTAAATCTTACCTCAGTACAAGAACAATTGTTCAAATAATGTGGCATTCATTGTATGATACCTTCCTCACATGATTGCTGAAGACAAAAATAGGTGCACAA